GGGGATGGTCACGGCGCAATCCCTTCTCCTCCATTCTCCTCTCGGGATCTTGGGCACGCACGCACACATGCCCGGCGTGAGTTTTAAGCCACCAGGTCTGTGATGCGAACCGCGGTCGACTACGTGGGAGTCCAGCGACATAGCCATTGCGCTAACTGCTGGTTCCCAATATTCTTAACACCATCTTCTGGTGCCATTTTTATTACTTTATTTTTGAAATGAAATTTGTATAATATAAACTTTAACACTTCAAAGTGTATAATCTGGTTACAGGCAGGTGGCATAGTTGTTAAGGCACTGGATTCCCACATGTCCTACTACAGATTGCGTCCTGGACCTGGTGCTAGCTAGCGCTCTCTCTCTCTCTCTCTCTCTCTCTCGTCAAATTTTTAAAAATAATACAATAAATAAAATTTAAGTAATATTTTTTTAAAAAAATACCATGGACTGTCCCATAGCCTAGTGCTTAAGGGAACCAATCCCACATGGTTGACCACAGGTTTAAATCCTGGCCCCAGCAGTCTGAAATACGCACTGGGCGTGTGTGTTTGCATGCCCTAAATCAGGATCAAGAAATAGAGAAAAAGGGATTGCAACGTGACTGTTCCCCATTGGAAGGTGCTTTCTCCCTCCGTCTCTCTCTGTCTCTGGTGAGTGCATATGCCCTCTGGCAATTACAAACAAATGCCAAATAAGAGATTGTGGATCCCTACTGGATAGTGGCTGTACCTGAAGTATGCTTTGATTGAGAAAATGCTGCAGGGAAAAAAACTGAACTCTAAAGTGTATGTTTTTAAATGCATAGATTTGCAGAAAACTATTTTTTGGAGAGGTTTTTGCTACAGGGCATGTGCGCTCGCCAGAAAGACAGAAAGAGACAGAGAGACAGAAAGCAAGAAATCACCTTCCAGGGGGGATGGCCATGTCACAATTCCTTCTCCACCATTCTCCTCTTGGGATCTTGGGCACGCACACACACGCGCCCGGGTGAGTTTAAGCCCCCGAGTCCGGGATTCAAACTGCGGTCAACTACATGGGAGTCCAGCGACATAGCCATTACGCCAACTGCTGGTCCCAGAAACATATTTTTATCAAACAAATTTTTACATATCAGGTCACACAATATGAAATTGACTTTTCGTGCTTCAGAACTGGCCTGACGTTAACAATGTCATATGGGTCCAACGTGGCAGGCACATGTAGGAGCTGGGTCACAGAGACTGTGTCACTGCTTGGGATGCTTGTGCACACATGGCCCCAGTCCTCACTCTGGACTCATCCACCAGACCCAAGTCCACATCTCCTTGGACAAGAGCAAAGCAGGAGAGGTAGCAGGATGCACCACGTGATCACAGGGTTAAACAAACATCTCTGTTCAAAATCTAGGCTGTTTCCTGCCTCAGTTTTCCTCAAAAAGCTTCACAGTGTTACCCTCAGTCTAGCACGTGCGTGCACACACACACTCAGAACAGTTTCTGGAATGTCAGGTACTAAGCTGACACCGTAAGTCACGGAGCAAGACAAAGCCAGAGCCCGGAAACCGAGTTGCTGCCAGAAGCAGCAGTCCTAACAATCTCTGATCACAGCTCCTCCTGCTGTCACCACTGCCTGAACCTAGCGCCACTGTGCACACAGCCAGAGCCCACTCTGTCTTTAAGAGAGAATGTTTTGCTAAGGGGAGCTGCTGCAGAGGGGAGACCTGCAAGGAAAGCTGCAAGGAATGCGAGGGAGCCTGTGCTGTGTGCCGTGCTGCTGTAGAAACCCAGATCCCACCTAAGACCTGCAACTGCCTGAGGCCCGAGGACCGCTCGGCACTGTGCTAGCCAATGTTGCACAACCAGGCAGCAAATAGAGTCCTTCATGCCTCGTGGCTGGACAGGTGTGCCCTTCACTGCTGGAACTCGAGGCCTAGAGACAGGGAACGTAGACACAGACATAAAGGGGCCAGTAGGCTCTGACCACATGACTCTCAGCAAAGGTGGCTCCCCCGGGCCTCCATTGCAGAGGCTAAACTCAGAACCTCCCAGGCGTCTACATCGTTGAGTATGGGAATCCATGCAGTTAGTTATTTGTTGAATGAGTGTATGTTGAACCTCCTCTTCCAATGCTGACCGTGAGCAAGGCCCTGGGCTCAGCCCAAAATGTAGCAATAGCTACAAAGGCCATGCAACTCCATTAAACTTCCGGTCTTCTGCGGGAGACTTCCAGTCTCCCTGCTTCTTCCAGCTGTTCCTTTCCCCAGAAGGCATTCATTGAGTCTGTGGTTTGGTGGGATTTTGATCAGCACTGGCCACAGGATTGAATGGAAGCACTTTGCCAGGGGAGGTGGATGGAAGGGAAGTGGTCAGGATAGAAGGGAAGGAGCAAATGCAAGCTGGAAACCAGCTCCAAACCAGAGATGCCATGGAGCCAATGCCAGGCACCTGCAACAACAAACTTCCTCTGATTCCCAAGGGATAAAACCCAGGATTCCCCTGGGAGCCAGGCTGGGTACTACCTGGTATGAGCAGCTTCCAGAAGGCTGGGTTCCAGTGACTCCCCAACCCCCACTGAACACAGACACAGGAGGCAGTGAGGATATTTCATAGGACCAGGGCCTTATTCCACATGAGGGCCACTGGCTCCCCCAGGTAGCCAAGGGTCCCAGGCCCGGAAATCTGCCTGCAGTCATCGGAAGGAACCAATGTGATTTCTGTTTGCCTGTTTTATTGTCTTCTAAATCACTAAAACCTTATCTACTCAAGGTCAGCCTATGGCCTGGTGATTACGGGAGCTGGATCCCACATAGCTAACTGTGCAGTTCAAGTCCCAGACCTGGCAGCTTAAGAAACATGCTGGGTGCATGTATATGCACACCCAAAACCCCGACAGGAGAAATGGAGAAGGCATTGGGGTGTGACCACTATCATGGGGTGCCTCCTCCCTCTCCCTCTCTCTGTCTCTTTCTGGCAGGTGCACACACCCTCTGGCAATTGGAAAAAATAATCAAACGAGAGAGCCTTTGTCTCTTTGGCACTATCTGGTTCACTTTGATTTGACTAGTTGGCCAAAGGAGGTATGTCCTTTTCCTTTCAGAACAGGAAAGGTCAGATGAATGTCAAAGCTGTCTTTTGAAAACTCGCATTGGAGACCAACCCTGGCTGACTTAGGGCAGCCATGCGTGTGTGGGAGGACAGCTCGGAGACAGCACGGGGACCTCACAGCATGGGATGTGCTTTGGGGATTCACAGTCCTGGGGCACTTTCTCCCTATGTGCCCCCCCACACACACACTGCCAAGCTGGCTGCTGCTCCCACTCGCCCTCCCTCCACCGGCCCATCCGAAGCACCATTCCTCGTGTTGCCTGTGACCCTGCCTGGGCACCGCCTGCCAGCAGGGCCTGAGCATTCCGTGTTCACTCCCCCCAGGCCTCAGCGTGGGAAACATGTTCTACGTCTTCTCCGACAACGGCATCGCCGTCATCCACCCCGTGGACTGTGAGATCCAGCGGCACCTCAAACCCACCGAGAAGATTTTCATGAGCTACGTAAGTTCCCGAGCCTGGGGCAGCTTCTCCGTCACACCGACATGACTCCGAAGGCCGATCTTGAGCCGCGTGTGCCTCTGGGTTTCATAAACTCTGTTTGCTGTATGTGGTGTGGCTCCACCTTAGTCCCAAGGCTTAGGGGGAGCAAAGGCTGAGTCTGAGCCCTCATTCTCACCCAGCAGCCACTGGGTGCCCCGAGCCCTACGGGAGCCCAGGAGGTGGGGGTGGCTTCCTGGCCTCTCGCAGTTCAGTCTAACAGGGGACACAGCAATGTGGACTGCTACTGAGAAGTGTGCCCCGGGGAGCAGAGAGAGAGGAAGGCCTGCGAGTGCCCCAGTGTCAGGTGCTGTGAACCGAAGATGAGACCAGGTAGAAAGTGACAATGGAACCTGCCCTGGGCAGAGGCAGGAGACATGGCTGCTGGTGGTAGGGCCAGAAAAGCCTTCCAGCCCTCCAGACCCTCTGGAGACCTCTCCCAGGTGTCTGTGCCTCTGGCCTGTTTCCCACTTGGCCTTAGAGACACCCTGAGCTCCTTGAGGTTAAAACCAAAATGGCCTCCTGAAATCCCCTCCTCCCTTCCCCTGAGGAGACACACAGTGTGTCCTCGATGGCACATAGTAAATGAACCGGAGAACAGGGTGGGCTTGGGGTTTGGGGGGGAATGGGCTCAGCCCAGCCAAGTTCCCTAACCAAGTCTGCCGCATCGCTGTGCGGGCCGTTGGCGAGTCTCGAGCCGTTGCGTTTCTCACATTTGTAGTTTGAAAACAGCTGTTCTCTGGGCTGTTTCATTTGAATTAATTATTTTTTAGAAGTGTTACCTCCAATGAACTTTCCTCCCAGACAATAGCCAGGAAACCAACTAGAAAGAGTAGTCCTAGTTAATTCCTAGCAATTAGGTTTAAATAAATAATTGCACATTGGAAATTAATTTCTCGTATATTTGTAATAACCTACCCTGCAGCTTGGGGAAAATCTGTCATATCCTAGTCAGGACTCAATTTTCCTGGATCAACACTAGAATGAGACCTAGTGATAAAGATCCCGAGGGTATTTCAGGCAACACAAGATGATGGTGAACTATGGAACAATCTCGAGCAGTATTTTTCTGTGCCTAGAAAGTGCCCACCCACTTCACAGGATGGCCCGTTTCTGAAGTGCTGGCTGAGTAGGAGGTTAGCCATCTTCTCTTGGCCCTCTCTGCTGGATCAGATGTCCACTTTGTCTCCAAGAAGCAGCACGATGTCATAGATATGAACACGGGTTTTGGAGTCAGGCAGGCCTGGGTTCACATCCCACCTCTGTCATTCAGTAGACTACGTGAGTTTAGAAAAGTTACTCAGCAGGCCCAGCAGGTGGTGCGGTGGTTAAGGTGCTGGACTCCCACATGCCCCCTGCTGTCCAGTCTTGAACCTGGCAGCTTGCTTGCTCACTCTCCCCCACCCCCTTTCTGTCTCTCTCTGGTCAAACTGAAGAAGAATAATAAATTAAATAAAATAAGTAATTCTTTTAAAAAAATAAGAAAATTTTGAACATATAAGTTTGAGGTACACATTAACCAACCAAGTAGAGCTGAGTAGGGACTGAGTTAAAGGTATAAATTTGGGGGCCACCTGGTGGCATGGAGGTTAAGGCACTAGATCCCACATGGCTAGCGGCATGGTTCAAGTCCCAGACCTAGCAACTTGAAAATCATGCTTGGGGGACCAGCAGTTAGCGTAATGTCGCTGGACTCCCACGTAGTCGACCACAGTTCGAGTCCCGAACCCGGTGGCTTAAACTCACACTGGGCGCATGTGCGTGTGTGCCCAAGATCCCAAGAGGAGAATGGAGGAGAAGGGATTGCGGCATGGCCATCCTCCCTGGGGGGTGATTTCTCGCTTTCTGTCTCTATGTCTCTCTCTGTCTGTCTGGCGAGCGCACGTGCCCTATAGCAAAAACCCCTCAAAAAAAAAAAAAGAAAATCATGGTTGGACACATGTGCATGGTTGTCTAAAATCCTGAGAAGAGAATGAGAGAAGGGATTGAGGCATGACCATCCCTGTGGGAGGTGTTTTCTCACTCCCTCCCCACCTCCTCTTTCTGGTGAGCTCATGCACCCTATAGCTATCATTCAAATCCCCAACCCGGCAGCTTGGAAAACACTCTGGGCACAGGTGCACATATGCCGCAAATCCTGATAGGATGGCAAAATGTTAAAGACAGGATTATGGCGTGACCAGGCCCCACTGAGGAGCGCTCTCTCCCTTTTTCTCTCTAGGACATGTAGACTGCATTTAGAGTCACAGATTTCAATGGGATTAGTATAGTGAATTTTAGAGAAGAGAAGCAATCCAGGAGAGCGCCCTGGGCACTCAGATGTGTAGAGATCAGCAAGTTGGACAGAATCAGGTGAGAGAGGTGGCTGGATGGGAGGGGGCGGAGCCAAGGAACAGAGGGCGCCATCAGGTGATGGCCCAAGTTCAAATACAGAAGGCAGAGGTTTCATTTCGTCACTGAGGAGTCAATGCTGACTTTGGGGAGAACAATGTCCTCTTTGCGGTGAGGACTAAAGCCAGAAGCTCAAGGGGCGTGTGAGAGGTGAGGAAGCGAAGGCAGGGGGCAAGCAACTCTTTCAGAAGTTTGGCCATTAGCAGGAGGTTTTAAACACCAGGGAGGAGAAGGAGGGAATTCACTAAAATGGAAGAACATGCACCTGGAAGCTATTGGTTGAGAGGACACAGAGAGTTACAGCCTCAGAAGAGGTGAGAGGAGGTGGAAGGGGAGAGGAGGTGGGAGGGGAGAGAAGTGTTAGTGAGAAGCTGATGAAACAGGAGGGCTAAGGATTCAAACCATTCTAAAAGAAGGAAGGAAGGGCCAGTGGAGGGCCGGGGAAAGGAAACTCAGAGATGTTGGGTAGAAGGAGGGATTAAGAGGATACGAGGGCAGTCTATCTCCTTTACAGGAAGAAATCTGCCCTCAAGAAGAAGGAAACGCCACCCAGCCATGCCAGTGGGCCTCTGCTGTCAACGTCAGGAACCGGTACATCTATGTGGCCCAGCCAGCACTAAGCAGAGTCCTCGTGGTCGACGTTCAAGCCCAAAAGGTCCTACAGGTATACGTCTTTAAAGAAGTGGGGGACGTTTCCGATCTGGGGCACAGTCGGCCACAATCTTCGTTGCTTCCTGCCCACTCCCCAGCTCCTAGGAGACGTAGACGGACCGCGGGGAAAGGACAAGATCCAAGTGCAGCTATCCATGCAGTATTTATTGTCCGTGTGCCCTGCCCTCTTCCCGGAGCTTGGGCAGCTGCCTGAATGAGCAGTGAAGTCCCTAGAGCTTGTATTCTAGTTGGGGAGACAGACCATACATCAGAACATTAGGGAGACGTAAGCAGTAAGGGCAGCGGGGGGCAAAAACAGGTGACGTGACAGAGGAACGCTACTATTACAAATTGGCCCTGTCTCTGGGGGCGTGAATTAGAATCTGAGGTCTCAATGCCAAGTGTGACTCTGGGAGCAGTGGATCATCCTGAGGGGACGAGGGGGTGCAGCCAAGTCAGGAGTAAGCCAAGGTCCAGCTCACTTACGCCTACAAGGCCAATTAGGACCTAATATAAAAATCCCAAGTGAGAAAAAAAGCCAGCAAAGTTTAATCAGGGGAGTGACATAGCCTGCCTTACATTTTCAGAGTCAATCAGGTGCTGTGTTAAGGAGAGAGGGGAACATAGAACAGGGATGTGGTCTGACACAGTCCAGGCAAGAGAGAGACGAGCAGTGGAGGAGAGACAGGATCAGATTCTGGCTGTATCTCAAACACGAAGCCTTAACATTTTTCTGATGAGTTGACTCTAAGAGTTGACCAAAAAAAAAAAAAATTTAATTTAAACAACTATTAAATTGTGATGCTACTTACAATATGTACCTGGCTGAATGGTGGCTCCCAAGGTATCCTCATCCTAATCCCCAGAATTTGTGAATGTCAGGGCAGCAGGTGGCATAGTAGTTAAGGAACCAGACTCCCACAAGGCCGACAGCAGCTCGAGTCCCAGATGTGGCAGCTTGAAAATCACAACAGGCGTGTGTGTGTGCCCAAAATCCATGGGGAGAATGGAGAAGGGACTGTAGCATGGCCATCTCCCCTGAAGAGTGATCTAGCATCTTCCTTCTCACTGTTTCTCCATCTCTCTCTATCTCTCTCTCTGGCCAGCACAAAACCTTAAAAAAAAAATTGTGATTGTCCCTTTATTTGACAAAAGAGGACTTTGCAAATGTGAAAGGATTTAAAAAATAAGGAGATTATCCCAGATTACCTGGGTGGACCCCACATGTAATCACAAGTATCCTTAGAGGAAGAAAGTAAAGAAAAATTTGGCTATACAGCTAAAGGAGGCGAAGTGAGGATTGAAGTAAGATTCTATACACTATTGGCTTTGAAGGTTGGAGGGAGGGGCCGTGAGCCAAGAGGTGCAAGGAAAGCCCCTCTATAGACTAGAACAAGCAAGGAAACAGATTCTCCCCTAGAGCATACTAGTTTCAGCCTGGTGAAATTAATTCTGGTTTTCTTGTCTCCAGAACAAATCTCTGATAACTTGTTACTGCAGCAGCACAAAACTAATACACTATGATAGAACATATTTGGGGTAAGACATAGAGCGGATTGAGAGGAAATTTAAGTTGGAAATGCTATTAGATATGTAATCAGGGATGTCTAGTTGGATAAATGGGTCTGGAATCAAGGGAGAGGTCTAGGCTAGAGATGTCGATGTGGGTATCATCATCATATGAGCTGTGTTAAATCCAGAGAATTAGATGGGATCACCAAGGGCAGAATAGTAGAGAAGAGGTCAATATCAGAGGCCTGAAGCACTCTCACATTTTAAGGACAGAAAGGAGAGAAGAAGCTAACAAAGGAAACCCAAAAGCCTGAAAGATAAGAAAATTACAAGACAGTGGTATTCCTGAAGCCAAGAAAAGAAAGTGTTCCAAGAAAGTTAGTGGTCTATGGTGTCAAATGGTGCTGAGTGTATCTGAATGTTACAAAGACTGAAAACTGACCATCAGATTTGGTACACAGCATCATGGATCACCAGCGTAGAACAGGTGTGATCATAACGTTGGCATGCAAGCCTGTTGGAGTCGATTCAAGTTAGAATGGTAGGGGAAAAGGTGGAGTTGGTGACTACAGTATAGGCAACTCTGTAGAGGGGTTTCATTGTAGAAGTAGAAAAATGAAGCAGTGGCTGAAAGAGGATGCTGAAGGAACATTCTTCAAATAGGTAACATGACAGCATTCATATGCTAATGGGAATAACTACTCCATCATCACTGAACCAAGAGTGAATGGAATCCAGGACACACAAGAGATGCTAGCCTTAGATAAAAAGTACTTCTTTTTTTTCATTAAAACAGGAGAAAATGGAGAGTATTCAGGCGCAGATGACACAATGAGTGGTAGTTAGATGAGTTTCTCTTTTCTTGGTGAAATAAGGAGATGAATCACCATGGCTGGAGGTTTGAGGAGAGAGATGACAGGTAAATGTGAGATTGAGCTGACCAGGCAAATGTGATAGGGCAATAGTGAGAATCCTCTTAAAGTGAGACTAGTCAGCAAAGCTGTCTCTCTTCCCAGCAATACTCAGCTGCCCTAGGGCAGGATCATTGTATGAGGGGGTCTTCAAAAACCTCATGGAGGGGACCAGATGGTGACACAGTAGTAATGCCATGCTGACCCACATAAAATGTTCTGGAACCTACCCACATGTATGCCCATGGTCCAGACTAGTTGAAGCTGGAGAGTGGATTATGGCTTGAAGACTCTACCCTATTGGTAGTACCTGTCTTCTTTGTTTCTCTCTCTTGTTTATGAAGAAAATATTTTTTTTAAAAGTTCATAGAAAATGTATGTTTTGAGGGACCAGTAGTTAGCCTAATGGCTATGTTGCTGGACTCCCACATGGTCGACCATGGCTCAAGACCTGGACCGGGTGGCTTAAATTCACTTCAGGCGCGTGTGCGTGCACGCCCAAGATCCTGAGAGGAGAAGGGATTGTGGTGTGGCCATCCCCCCTGGGGAGTGATTTCTCACTTTCTGTCTCTCTGTCTCTCTCTTTCTGGTGAGCACAGGTGCCTTATAGCAAAAAAAATCTCTAAAAAAATTTAAAAAAAAATATTTTGATAAACATTTTCACAAACATTTTGAAGTCCCCTCATGTGAAGAAATTTAGATAGAACCAGGGTTGTGGTTTCTCTTAGAAAATACAAGAGGTTTTCTAGTTATCTTTTGTTATTGATTTTCCTGGACAGAGAACATACTGAATAATTTCAGCCCTTTGAAATGTATTGAAGCTTATTTTATGACTGAACTTATGATCAATTTTGGTAAATGTTCCATGTGTATTTTCAAAGAATGTGCAAACTGACACTGTTAGGTATGGTATTCGATGTCAAGTTGGTTTATTGTATTGTTCAGATTTTCTGTTCTTAGTAGTTTTGCCTGCTTAGTCTATCAGCTGCTAAGAACTATACTAAAGTCTTCCACAATAATTGTAGATGTATCTATTTTTCAAAGTTTTGTTCATTTTTTGCTTTAAAATTATAATATTTTCCTGGAGAAAGACTTCTTTGTTCTTACAAAAGGTTCCTCTCTATCTGTGGTAGGCTACTTGCCTAAAAGTCTATTTTTGTCTAATATTAGCATATTTAATCAGATTTACTTTGACTACTGTTCTCATGATATAATTTTCCAGTCCTTTTTCTTTCAACCTTTCTATTCATTGTGCTCTTTTAAAAAGTCACCAGTAGTTAGGTTTGGGGTTTTATGTAGTTTCATCTTAGTCTTTTACTTGCAGTATTTAATTCATTTACATTAAATATAAATGAATTAAATACTGCATTGTATTTGTCAAACACTTTTATTATTTTATTTTTACTTTTATTAGCTTGTTGAAGATGCATTCATTTCTATTATTACCACCATAGAGGTTATTGTATATTTCCTTGTATCAGCACAGTTGCATACAGTTTTTATTTTCTTTTTTTCTTTTTTTTTTTGGAGAGGTTTTTGCTATAGGGCACTTGCGCTCACCCGAAAAACAGAGAGAGACAGAGAGATAGAAAGCGAGAAATCATCCCCCAGGGGGGATGGCCACACCACAATCCCTTCTCCTCCATTCTCCTCTCGGGATCTTGGGCACGCACGCACATGCACCCAGCATGAGTTTAACCCACCGGGTCCGGGGCTCGAACCAGGGTCAGCTACATGGGAGTTCAGCGACATAGCCATTACACTAACTGCTGGTCCCCATACAGTTTGTTACCTTCACTTTCTCAACAATGTTAAAGTCTTAGAACACTAACAACTCCTTTAACCCTCCTTCCTGCATCATTGTGGTGATAAATTTTAACATCATATATAATTTAACCCCATAGAACATGATTTTTATTTTTACCAGATAATAGTAATTTTTATTTACTCACATATATTTGACCTTTCCATTTATTTCTGAAGTATCATGGTCCCTTATAGGATCATTTTTATAGTTCTTTTAGTTTAAGACTGCTGACAACAAATTCTTACAGTTTTTCATTACTTGAAAATATCTCTATTTCTAAGGGACTTTTTTACTGGGTATGGAACTCTATGTTGGCAATTATTTTCTTGAAAGAAAGTAATTTTTTGCCATTCCATTATCTTCAGTTGTTTTTTGTTAATAGATCAACATCAGTCTTATTGTTTTTGAAGGTAGTTTATCATTCTTTTTTCCTCTCTACTTTACAAATTATTCTTTTTGGTCTTTAGCAGTTTAACTATGATGTGCCTGGGTATGATGTTCTTTGTATCTATTCTGTTTTGAGATTTGCAGAGAGTATTTCATCAAATTAGAAATTTTTCATCCATTATATCTTCAAATTCTCTCCCAGTTCTGCATCAGAAACTCCGTTTTTCAAAAGTTAGACCTTTCAATTATGTCTCATATGTCTATTTCTGTTTTAAATTGGATATATTTTATCAACTTGTCTTTCAGCTTGCTAATCCTTTTTGTTTTGGGGTTTTGTTTTGTTTTGTTTGAAAGGTTTTTGCTATAGGGCATATGAGCTCCCCAGAAAGACAGAGAGAGACAGAAAGCAAGAGATCACCCCACCCCACCCCACCCCCGGGGTGATGGCCACACCCCAATCCCTTCTCCTCCATTCTCCTCTTGGGATCTTGGGCACCCATGCACATGTGCCCAGCGTGAGTTTAAGCCACCCGGTCTGGGACTCAAACCGCAGTCAACTACATGGGAGTCCAGCAACATAGCCATTATGCCAACTGCTGGTCCCCCTTAGCTTGCTAATCCTATCTTCTGCCATGTCTACTATGGATTTAACAAAACCTATTTATTGAGTTATTTCAGGTATTTTATTTTTCACCCTTAAAATGTCTATTTTTATATATAAATTCTCTTTTGTGGCTCACCTGTAGGTCTATTATCTTTTAAATATTGTTTTCAGTTGTATCAACTGCCTAGTCATTTTCTTGAATTTCATTCAAGAAAATTGTACAGACTGACACAGTTGGACTCATATGGGAAGAGTCCTGTGCTCACATCCCAGCACCTTCCAAAGTACACCGGATGTGCATGTACGCTCATGATCTGTGCCAGCTGGGACTGGGGGAGAATGGTGTAAAGACCCAGTGAAAGTGTCTGTCCCTCTGTCTCTCATGAAAGAAGTATACTTTAAAAATTGTAGACACTGGAGCCAGCAAGTGGCATGGTAGTTGAGGTGCTGGACTTCCACATAGCTGACTACGGTTCAAGTCCTGGACCTGGTGGCTTGCTCTCTCTCTCTCTGTTCATATTTTTTAAATAATAATAAAATAATTCTTTTTTCAAAGACGTATACACTTTAGATATCTATAATCTACTAGAGAGGGCTATAAGAAGAGAGAGAACTAGAACTAATCACTTTATTCTCGGACTAAGTTGAAGCTTCTCTAAGGCTCACTCTACCTCTGAGTCACCTGTAATTCTGGAGCTTTGAACTGAAAGCCTGCCATGTTCACCAGGATGTCTTCCCTACCGTACATTCGCTTCTCGGCACACTGAGACTACAGAAAATCTGTTCTGAACTTAACAGATTCTTATATAGGTCCTTAGCCTCCTGTTCCATGCTATCCCAGAGTGAATATGAAATATGAGAGAAAGTTAAGCATAAGGAGAGAGAATGGCTACAATCCAAACTTCAGGCAAGTTTTGCCATAAAGAGGACAAATGGAGTAGCTGCAAGACTGTATAGTCAAGAG